CAAATGTTAATCTAATTGGCAATTAACAAGAGTAAAAATAACATTTACATATCAAAAAAAACTATTTCACAACTTATTTAATAATACAGTTTTGCTGGGTAACTCAAAAAATTGGCTGCTACGAATGTGCCAAAACGACCTTTTTTTTTTTCCCTTTCCCCTCTCTTTTCTCTCTCAAACACCAAACTCTAACAAACAGAGAGGCGAGGCGATGGTGAGAGAAAGAGAGGAGAAGGAGGAACAAAGAAGGAAGAGGAAGAGAGGACGCCGGAGGTGGTTTCGCCAGCCAAATGGGAAGCTGCCAGAGTGGGTTTGTAGTGTTGAATCTCAACTTCCTCTTCTTCTTCCTCTACTTTCTCTCTCTAACAAACCCACTTCCTCTCTCTAAAAACCATCAAACCCCTTTCTCTTCAGCTTTCTCTTCTTCCTCTACTTTCTCTCTTTAAAAACTGCCAAACTCATCACAAAATTGAAGCAAACGCACTTTCTCTCTCTAAACACTATCAAACCAACCACAAAATTGAAGCAAACCCAACATGGATTATTCAGTTAACACAAACAAACAACATAAATCATCCAGATTCAAGACTTTGGTTCTGGTTTCTTCAATTTCTTTCTTTTTTTTCTCTGATTTTTTCATTTCTTTATTTATGTTGTTTTTGGAGAGTTTTTGATTTGTACATGAGTTTTGCTCTGAAAAAATAGATCTGGAGAAAGAATGAGGGAAGGTGGTGTTAGGTTGGCCGAAGCTGGTGAGGGTGGAAGAGAGGAGGCCGGAGGGTGCCGGCGGTTGCGGTGATAGGGTGGTCATGTTGGTGGGGGTCACCGGAGACTTTGGGTGGGCCTGAGAGAGAGTGATAGAGAGGTGAGAAAAAGTTGTATGTGTGAAGTCCAAAATCGGACAGAGAGGCTACTAAAATTTGGGCCATTCGGGGGTTGAAATTTCGTGCTACAAAGCTTTACTCTTAATCATACTAGTCAATAACTTAAATCTATAATCCAAACAAATTAATAATCTGTTAAATTATAATTTATAATTTATTTTAACAGTTACACCAAACACTCCATTATCCTTTCTTGGGCACCGCTAGGCCACCGCTACAGAAGCAACTTTTTCTCTCTGGGGTTTAATAAAGCAACAAGCATGGCAACTTTCTCTCTCTAGGGTTTAAGGTCATCTCCAATGTTTAATCAAATCCATCACCAAATTTGAATTTGGTGAAACAAGACACTTTTTTGGTCTCCAATGGTTTTATCAAAGCTGTATCAAATTGAGAACGTCTCAAAATTTTCGCCAAACTGAAGATGTCTTGCACCTTTCAGCAATTTACTGTGCATAGCCGTTGAGTGTGGACCCACCGGCCGATATCTGGCCGGATGTCCCTTCGGATGACCACCTCAAGGCATAATTTGTAAAAATTTACATTGACCGGTTGACCCCCCAGATGACCACCTTTGCATCTTTTTTTGACCTGTACACCATCATGTTCATCAGATAGAGAAACATAGGTGGCATGAGATGAATCTGATACCTTGAGGTAACTAGATGGAGAATTTCAATATTTTCTATGAGAACACAACAAATCTTAAGGAGGCATTGGAAAACAAAGGTTTTCACCTTAAAAATGAATCTTGGCAGGTAGTAGAGATCAACAAGCTACTACTAATAATGACCCATGGTAGAGAAATTCAAAATTAGAGAAAGTTCAAAGAAAGACTAAGAAATGTGAAACAAGCACATCTGAAAACACAACAAAAAATCAAAAACACCGAAGAAAACAAATACAAGGTCTTCTGGTCGAGTCCCAGAAAAGATTAGGAATATTATGAGCTAAAATTAGGCAAGTGTGAAAGAAAATTGGAACAGAGAAACCAAAAGGGGCATTTTTATTTATTTATTTATTTATTTATTTATTTATTTTGAAATTTGTTGTGATATTCAATTAAACTGTAAAATCTATTGATAAGTGAGACAAAAAACAGAACAGTAATCCGAGAATGTTTAAAGAAAACAGGAAACCAAAAAGGGCAATTTAAAAAATAAAAAAAAAATTATTTTGTGATATTGAAAAAAGACTGTAATTTCAATTGAACCCAAAACATAAAAGTTGAAAGTAAAAGAAACAAAGTTCAAAGAAGGACAAAAACTGGTACCAATGATACATACCCATCAACTGAAAGGGGTTCCTAGTTCAGAGAACAAGAAGAACAAGATTTTAAAGATGTTTTTGGCTTACCGTGAAAGAGAAGCTAAAGGTTTTTGGAGATCTTTGGTTGAGACTGAAAAAAGAGCTGAAAAGCAAAGGCACTGTAGCAACCTAGAAGAAGCCACGGAGAGAGAGAGAGAGAGAGAGAGAGAGAGAGAGAGAGAGCAAGCTCAAAGAACTTCCACAATCACACTTAGAAAAGTTGTTACAGATTCTTCGGATTGCACTTGCTGGTCGACCTGTGTTTTGCTGATAGCTAAAAATTCACCATTGGAGAGCTTGATATCAATAGAGGAATTCATCAAATTTTTACTCAGAATGGATAAAATATTTGGTGAACTGTTAGAGATGCCCGAAGAAGAACAACAATAATAGGAGGAGCAAGAGGCAATACCTCTTTCATCTCCACTCATCTATAGGTGGCTCTGTTAGAGCTTCCGCCACCGCTGCCTTCTTTGCCAAAAATCTAGTTTTCGCTTTTTATAAAAAAAACCAAGAACGCTTACCCTATTTGCCAATGCTCAATTGGCAATGCACTAATTTTTTTGATTCACTATTTTGGATTGAGGAGAGAAGAAGAAGATGAACAACTTAAATTACACCACTAAACACTATTTTTTTCTTATTCATTTTTTTGAAATGATGAGAGAAGAAGATAGATCGTTAATTGTAGGGGGTAAGTTACGTAATATAGCGTCGGTAAGAAAATAGATGTTTGGTTGTGTTGTATGATTTAAATTGTTGAAATTATAAAATTATCTTTTTGCTTGTTAGGTTTACACCATTACTGATTGTCTTCAATTTGACCATATCAACTGAAATTGGACATTGAATGACTAAATAGTTTTAATTGATAGTTTAGGAATTAAATAGAAAAAATGACAATAGTTTAGGAATAAAGGTAAAATTAACTAAAAATAAATGAAATTGAGGCAAATGATTGTGTTACATGTATTGTGCATGGAATCTATACTTTTGGATTATTATTCATTTGTTCTGTTTTTCATAAAAAATATATTGTTAGTTTGTTGTCTAGTATTGAGGATGGGAAAATCTGAAGTGTATTCAGTTATCTGCCCAAACTTGTAAATTGGCCTTGAGCATGGTCATTCCTAGTCTTTATTTTGAAAGATGTTTGATTCGATCACTGAATTTTGAAAACCATGTCTTTATTCAAGTACTCTACTTCAAAACTGAGAATAACTTCATTTTTCAATGGGAATTAAAGGAAACTTTATAATTGCAATTTTTTTGGGAAGTCCAATTAGAAGATGGTTGAGATTTTGCATCGTTCCGTGGGAATTATTCCCAGAAACCATGCTGAGCATATAATTACTTTTATCAAAGTGAATGTGGATGAAGAGTCAAAGGACAATTCCGATTCTGATGTGCAGCCAACACCTAAGAAAAGACTCACTTTCTGTGTTGAAGGAAACATTAGTGTTGGGAAGACAACTTTCCTTCAGAGGATAACTAATGAAACATTTGAGCTGCAAGATCTTGTCAAGATTGTTCTTGAACTTATTAATAACTGGCAAGATGTTGGACCGAATCACTTTAATATATTGGTTCCTTATACGCTGAGCCACAAAAGCATGCATATACCTTCCAAAACTGTGTGTTTGTTACTAGTGTCAGAGGGAGTCATGTAGTGGAATAAAGCCCCTCAGGTCAGTAATCTTTAATTTCTTTATGTAATGTGTCTCTTCCAACATATATATTTTTGAATTTTGATTATTTTAGCATATGACAAGGCATATTTGGCTCAATTAAGATTGCCAAAAACACCCATATCTAGATTATGTTTTGATATCAAATAAAGCTACAAAGCAAATAATTTTTGATACATGGACATGCAATAATTTCAAGGAAAAGTCAAGATACAACGAAATTAGAGTTTTAATTTAACAGGGATAAATATTGGTAATCCCAAGCACACAATCTTAGTTGGAAACATAACATCCCACATGAACATGTGTTTGATATAATACAATCTAACCAAAGGAGAAAAGTGATTGTTACTTATTCAGCCAATAGATTGAATATTGCAAAGGCAACAATAACATAACGCCACCACTTGTATTCTACTGGCTATTGAAGTAGCATATTGTTGAGGTAACCATTATTGAAGGACCTTGGATGTAACCTTAAGCACAAAAGAATAAACATGCTTTCGTTTACTGTCCAAAACGACCGGAAAAAAAAAAAACAAAAAAAAAGAGAGAGAGAGAGAAGTGCTTAATTCCATTCACTCATCTTTGCTACATGAATAGATTATAATCAAAAAATAAAGAAAAAAGAAAATGAGAAATTGAAATTGTGATGTTTCAACGAGGGGAAGATGTATATTTAGGTAGTGTAATGCTATACATAAAAATATTTCTCACCAAAATTTCTTATTACTAGACGCAAAGCTAGTGAGGTCTACATTAATAAATATATGCTAAACTCATGTCGTTGTCCAGTTATAAGAAAATCAGGTAAAAAAATTGTTTGTGTATAAAATTTTCTATTTTGAAATGCATATGCATAGCTCAAGTGGGAATGATACACACCTTAAGGTTTTCATGTTGCAAAATCTCTTCCTACTTTCTAGTCTTGGTTCAACCCTTCATTCATGTAAGTATTTTTGATCATACACAATTCGCTATTAACATTCCCCATTTCCATTTGATCTCTTGACGATTCCATTGAACATGCAACCCCAATTCTTAGAATGGAAACCATGCAGTCTTTAATCCACCTTTTTGCTTTATGCTCTAATAGGATGTAGGGATCCACAATCTCCATCACTCAATCAGGAAAAGCATTCTTAACAAAGTTATGAAGATTTAGATGATTCTTAAACATATCGTCAGTTGGTTTTTTACCTGTAAACATCTCCAGTAAAAGAATCCCAAAGCTATATACATCCCCTAGTGTGGAAGTCATGTCACCCATGCCATACTCTGCAAATTGTTTCTAATGTTAGTGTGAAAGGTGAGTCTAGTTAATTGATATAATTGTAATCCCTACAGAAAATGTATTTCATAATTTGTTAAGGTAGTTTTAATGTTAAATGAGGCCATTAATTTCAAGATTTTGTTAGTGTGTGCGAGTGACTGAGTGAGATCATTGCTAAGAATGACATAGTTTAATTGTATTTTTCATTAAAGTAAACAAAAATTAGTCTTGCATGGAAAGGTATATGAAAATCAATTATACAAGTTTCCAATTGAGCAAGATTTTGGAAAATGCTAAAGTATTATAACAATTGTTTCCACTAGTAGATACTTTTGATTGGACTAAAATTTCATACTAGAATTACATAAAGAAGATTTTCTTTTTCTTTTCTTTTTCTAAAAAATAAAAGAGAAAACAGAGGAGGCATAGAGGATTAACTCAGGTTTGCTAACAGTGAGGAGGTGAAAGCACAAATTGGGAGCATTCAGAAATGACGTATAATATATATATATATTTTAAATTCTTAAAAATATGCAGGTGCCCACTATTTTGTAGAAAGTCATGGTTTTTGTATGGTTGTTTATGCTGAAATCATTCTACCATGCAAGGTGTACATATAAGTATGTATGTGTATATATATGTATATTACTGTACGAGCATGAAATAATCTTCTCGTATAATCCTGTTGATGAAGTTTGCACTCCTTCAAACGTCATCGCTTTACTACCTGAAAACACAAACGTGAGCTAGCCGGCGGGTGTGTGCCGGAAACCTCTCCGATGCCTAAGTCAGCAAATAGATAATAGACACAAAAAATCTGTGTATTCTAGAGTGAGAATTGGGATACCGGTACATAGGTCCTGTCATGTGCTTTTATAGATTTCACCTGGCACAATCCTAATAGGAGTAACTCTCCTTATAAGAGTCCTCTTAGGAATCACACACCCTACTCACTACCAACCAAGTGAGATGGTTTACACAATCCTTGTTGGACTCTACTCTCCTTAGCAGAGTCCTCCTAGGAATTATATTCCCAAGGATAATGTATGTTCTGATAACACCCTATTCACTGCCAACCAAGTGAGATAGTTGTCACCCTGCTCGGTTCGCTACGCCTAGCTGAGCTATCTGGCGCAAATACCTTGACCGGGCTGCACGATCTCCAATTGCTTTGAATCCTTCTGGCCGGGCTACCTCTAGCTCAGCTTCCTATATATAGCCGACATAGCACTTCGGCTCGCCCACTGACCGCAACTGGAGCTCACCGATCAGCCTACCAACCATTGTTCCCACATCGAGCTACCCCGAGCTCGTAACTTGGCCACAACGTGACCCAATATTCAGAAACAATGCTTCCTAGCTCGGCCCAATTTGGCTATACAAATTACCCTCTCAAACATGGACAACTATTAATGACAAGGAAACCTGGATCCAAAACAATAAACAGTTTGGGTCTAAACCGGAATCGTTATACTATATTTGAATGATAATAATCTTGAGGGGGAAAGAGAATGGGAATGTGATTTCAAATCTCTATGATTTCAATATTTGAGGAGTCATACTTCTTATTAAAGTATCTCATGCCAATCATAAATTCATTCACAATAGTTGGCCTAACCATGTGGTTAATAATTTGAGTTACATATCCATATGAAAGTTTAAAATTTTTAAATAAAATTTAAATTACTAACTAATTTAGTTTTGTCAAGAAAGTTCAAAATCGATTCTTATTAGAGTCTTATTTTGAAATTGTTTTTATTTATTTTTATATGTATAAAAAGTTCCATGATAAAAGCTTATTTTAGGTCTCGAAAAAATCAAAACCAATACTGATTACAATGTAAGAACTCTCACTGCTTAGTGATGGCACCATAGTATTGCCACCAGTATACTCATCTAGATCATAAGTATAGTAAGTGGCAGAGCCATAATTTTGATTTAAGAGGGATAATATTGAGTTAAGGTTATAGCGATCTACCACAATGCAAATAATTTTGATTTTTAATTGAGGGTAAAACAACTAAAACGAACATAGTTTCAGATTTAAAATTTTAAAGTTATGCTCGAGTAAGTTAATTTTTTTGCTTTATTTATTTTTATTTTTATTTTTGATTGTTTATTTATTATTAATATGATTTGCTATTTCAATTTGGCGAACGTGATGATCATTTTAATTTAAAATGCGATCACATACTATTATTAAAAATGAGAATGACAAAATCACACCCAAAAAAAACAAAATAAAACAAAACAAAACAAAAAAACAAACAAACAACAGAGAGTGGAAGAGGAAGACATGAGAGAAAGGAGCGAAATAATATAGAATTTAAAAGAAAATATTTTAGCAAAATTAAATATTTAGAGTGACAAATTATAGGAATTTCTATTTTATTTTTAATTAATGAATCATATTATATTGAAACTAATGAATTATAATCATAATGAAAATTAATACACCATATAATTAATATAAATAAATATTTTCAAAATTCAGAGAGAAAAATCATAAATAAATAACATGAAAAATACAATCAATAACCAGATTGAGATATTTGAACCTCTAACCTCATAATGAAAATGCAAGAATTCTGACTATTAGATTAACCATGTTGGTTTTGCAAAGATTTTGTCAAAAATAAAAAACAAAAACAAAAATAGAAGATGAGATACAAAAAATGTGACATACTTTGAATTTTAAAATTAGTTATTTTCAAATAGGAGTAAAAATGCAATTTCCAAAAAATTGAGGGGCGGCACGTGACCCTCCT